ACAGAGAGACAGAGACAGAGAGATAGAGACAGAATCGGGGGGCAGAGAGAGACATAGAGCGTCTGAGCTGTGCTGAGGGGTGGGCCCCCCGGAGCCCAGGGGTGCCCCACCAGCACCAGCCCAAAAAGGTGGGCATGACCCTCTGGGAAGCCTTTCTGGGGGCCCAGCCTCAGAGCCCCAACAATTCCCAGCCCACGAGCCCAGGGCTTGCCGCTACTGAAAGGGGCGGAAGCGAAGATGTTTCCTGCAGCCTTAGCCACGACCTCAAAGCACTGCTAGTGACCCACTAAAATGCAAACTTCCTGAACACCCAGCATCGGGCGGCTTTACATGACAGGCCCTCGGCCCAGTGGAAAATTATGCAGCCATTACAGATGATGGTTATGAAGCCTGTGGCAGCAGAGGGAATAGCTTGCCATGGCATTTCTGAACGAGCAGGGGGCAGGACTTATCTGCGCTGGGGGCGCCACAGAGGAAAAGGTGCTGCCCATCAGCGTGGCCTGTCGCGGGCCCAGCAAGCCAGCCTGGCATCTGGGGAAGAATCTCCCCTTATTTTCATTCCTCTGAGGCTGCTCGCGCAGTAAATAATAAATAACATCTTTGCTTATCCCAGGACCATGTTCCGGTAAATGAGGACTGTGGCAGGAGCCCTGAGCCCCGACTCCCGGCGAGAGACGCCACATCAGACCAGGAAGAATGAGGAGGCTGCGTGGGGCCCGCGGGGGTGTGGGGCACAGAGGGTAAGGCGGGCCGCCGGGTCGCAGGCTCTGCAGGCCGGGCTTCCACTGGGGCTGGAGGGGCGGGGAGCAGGTGAGGAGGAAAGGACTCAAGGGGTGATGGGAGGGGGCAGGGGGTCACTGAGGGCCGGGGGGGCAGAGGGGCTGCAACGGGCACCTCGAAGGGTTTGCCTGGCAGAGGGGGTTGGAGGCCTCCAGGTGGGGACAGCTTGGCAGAGAAAGTGGGAGCCATGGAAGGCTGTGGAAGAGGCAGCCCCGGGCAGGGCAGAGGCTGTTGGAGGGAAGGCGGTGGAGAGAGGACGGGTCAAGACTGTCACCAAGGGTCAGGGTTAGGGTTAGGGGCCAGACCTCAGGCCTGAGGCTCCATCCAGACTCGGAGGCACTGCCAGGCTGGGACAGGCCACAGGCACAGGAGGTGCCAGGTAGGCCTCACGTCCTTGGGGGGCAGCCTCGCTGGGCGCCGAGCCGCAGGCTGTGTGCAGCGAACAATGCTCCAGCCAGGAGCGACCTCAGTGCCGGCCCCGCTCCCAGGGCACCTCAGCCCCAGTTGTCACCATGTTACAGGCCAGGATGCTGAGGTTCACGGCAGCCCAAAACTCCCGCTCCATCTTCCAAACTCAGGCAGGGCCCAAACACCTGAGCAGACCGGCACGAGAAGGGCCCAGGGAGGCGAATGCGCAGGAGCTGCCCCTGCCCGCAGTCTGGGAGGCTCAGCCCCAGGAAAAAGGAGGAAAAGGAGGCCGAGGCCACCAACCAGCTCCCTCATGGCCCTGCCCCAGCCCCTGCCCCGTGGAGCCTGCAAACTCTGGCCCCTAAGCCAGAGCCCCTCCACCAATGCAGCCCTCCCTGTTCCACACGTCCTGGGGACCCTGTCCAGCAGCCTGAATCCGAGACAGCGGCAGAGGAAGAGAGGCTCACTGGGGCCCTGCGTGAACAGGCGGGCAGGAGGGGCTCCCATCTTGCCTGGGACCCTGAGGTGAGCCTGGCTGCCCTACAGTCCCTGTCTGGGAGCCGCCCCTCACCCCACAGGAGGTGACAGCCCCAGCAGAGCACACTAGCCGGAACGGGGCACAGCTTCGGGACAGTGCTGCTGGTCCCACCTGGCTCAGACCTGGGTCCCGCCGGGCCTCCTGCCCAGTCACTGGCCTCTCCATGCCTGGACGTGAGCAGAGCCTCCCAATGGGGCATCCCGAGAGCTCAGGGAGGCTTTGTGTGTGCAGCCTCCGAATAACACAAAGACACTCCCAGTCCCTGTCGGCAGCCGCCATGTTCATCACACCTAGAAATTAATCCCGACCCCAGTGGGCGAGGGGACAAAGGTGGGGGCGAGCCTACCTGCTGGCCCCTGACCAAGTCCACGCCACACCGTAGGGGCTTCATCCCTGACCCCACCACGATGGAGCTGCCCACAGGAAGGTCTAGAGGGTCTCCATGCCCCTCTCTGCTCCCCACAGCAGCTCCCTCTGCATAAAGCCCAGAAGAGGGGGCCTGTGTCCGGCAGAGGGGACTCACCAGTCTGCTTCCCACCCCTGCTCCAGGACGACAACAGGAAGTGCCCCCACTCCATCCTGAAACGGAGCCGGCCGGAGCACCGCTGCCCAGGGCCCGAGCCCCAGAGGACATCGAGGCGCGTGCGGTTCCGAGAGCCCCCAGATGTGACCGTCCACTGTAAGACGGCACCCGCAGCAAGAGGCTGGGAGGGCTGGGGTCCGGGCAGAGGGAGTCAGGGCACCCGCCACACCCACACAGCTCTGGCAGGGCACAAGGCATGGGAAGACCACAGCCACCTGTCTTCAGTGGCAGAACCCAGTAAGACCGGGGCCCGCAGGGTCACTGGACACAGTCCTGGCCGTGAAATGGCAACTGGAGGAAAACATGGCGGCGGCTTCTTGAATCATGACCGTCCTCCCAGGGAAGTCTCGGGAGCCTGCCGGGCCTGGGTCTCTCACCGATGAATCATCTCAGGGTCCTTTGAGGGTGCAGGGTGAGATGAGAGGGCAGGTGCCCCCGGCCGATTCTCCATTCTCCTTCCCAGACATTGCTGTCAGGGACGCCACAGCCACTGTCAAAGGTGAGTTCCGAGCCCACATCCCTGCCCCCATGGCCCCCTCCTGTGTGCACCCACCCTCACTCTCTCCCTGAGGGAGGTATCACAGGGCCAGGGCCTCTAAGGAGGCCCCACGAAGCTGGGGAGGGGCCAGGGCAGGGACAGAGTGGGATCTCCCCATCCCTTCCCCACCAACCCGGGTCCTCCAGGGAAGGGTGGGGCTGGCTGGCGCTGACACTGCCCGCCCTCCGGCCGCAGCACCCGGCCGGCCCAGGCCACGCAGCGGCTCCCTGCTCCTGCGGCTGTGCGTGTGCGTCCTGCTCGTGATGGCCTTGGGTCTGTGCTGTGGCCGGTCTAAGCCCGTGGCAGCGGCGCTGGAGGACCTGCGGGTCCGGCTCCTCCGCCTTGTCCTGCACCTGTGGCACGTGGTCCTCACCAGCTGGCGTGGCCTGCTGCAGCTCTGACGGGGAATGGGCAAGGCTCCTGGAAAAGCCCCAGCACCCCGGGGCTCCGAGACAGCCTTAGCCCTGGCCCTGCTGCTTGGTGAATTGTGGGGGCCAGGAGGGGCTGCTGCCTGGGGCCGACTGGGAACAGGGGGACCCCCTGGCATGAGAGCGGACACAGGTACAGCGGGCGGCCAGCCACAACCGTCAGCACAGCGCCGGTCTCCTGTGTTGGGTCCATGTGAGATCTTACTAGAAAGAGGGTCCGACTGCTAACATTGGGGGCCCCCATTCTGGGGCTCCCCAGGCTCGCCCGAAGACCCCTCCCTCGCCCCAGCAGGCACCCCTGCAGCGGCTGGGGCCTGGCCCAGGCATGGCCACACATGCCGTCTTGAGGAGGATACACTGCCTGCGTCCAAGGGGCTGCTCAGAGGAGGCAAACCCAGCCTTTCGCTGCTATGAGGGCCTGGGTGGACCCCGACCTCGAAACCCCATGGGGAGGGAAGGGTCTGGTTGTCAAGGTGGGTCCCTTTGAGGTGAGGTATCGTCCTCTGAGCCCAGGTCTGACCCCCTATTCAGCCCCATGAGTCTGGAGTGGCCCCAGGGGAGGACTCCTCATCAGAGGTGGCTTCAGACGTAGAAGCCAAGGAGACAGCAAGGGGCCTGGACACTCCCGGCCTCCAGGTCACGGCCATCTGTGCTCAGTTCTGTGGGTCCAAACACCCCCGGTCTTCAGAACACAGCCATGTGTGCCCAGCTCTGCAGACCGGGGACACCCAACAGAGCCCAGGGCCAGCCAGCGCCACCCACCAGCTGGGGCCCGTGGGTCCCAGCAACCGTCTGTGGTTGTGGCTTTGTCGCCAGATTGCAGAGCTGAAGGGAGCCCTGTGGGTGACAAACACCAGGGGCCCCTCCAGACCCTACATGGGGGGAGGGCCAAACAAAGCAGGGAGGCCCACCGTCAGACACCAGGCAGAACTGCCCAGGGACAATCAGACCAGTGTCCTCGGGGCTGGCCTGAGAGGCGAGGGCACAGTGGATGACCCGTCCGTGGTTCCTCTCTGTATGTCCCATCACCGAGCTGGGAGACACTGTTCTTTTAAAACGCACTGGGGCCTCCTTCAGTCTGGAGTTTGTATAGAAACAGAGGCCAAAACAGATTTGCTAAGGACCCAGCCTCTGAGCAGAGCAGGTATCCTGGGTCCCTGGAAGCGCCCAGTCTCCTGAAGGCCTTCGGGGGGCTTACCAAGCCCCTGGGTCTTCATCCTTTGTCAGGGCGTGTCCCCCCACCCCAGGTCCAGGGAACAGGCGCCATGGACTCCAGGGTTGCTTCTAGCTTTGGAATCCAGGGAGCCCAGAGTTTCGGGTGGAGGCAACGAAAGGGGCTGTTTCCAGAAGTGGCCCAGGAGGGACCAGGTGGAGGCACCCAGGCCCTCCAGCATCACGCTGTCCCCAGTCACCACAGCACCGCCCACCCAGGCCCAGCCCGTCTCCTCCCACCCCAGGAAGCAGGATGGGCCGGTTCCTACCCCATGTTCTGGATTCGGAAGCAGAGGCCCCAAAGGCTGGGTCTCAGGCCAGTCACAGGCTCAGGCTCAGCCTCTGCAGGCTGGGGCCACCCCTCCAGCCCTGGTTCTGATAGGGACACCGCCCAGGCCCATGTCCCCCAGCCGTGGCAGCCTGTCCACTGCAAAGGCAATGCAGGGTCATGCCTGGCTTTGCAGGGTCCCACGATACGACCTCAGGTGTTTTTGAATAAATACTGCTCAAAGATGGCACCACACGCCTGAGAAATCCTTCCAAACGGATCCTCCTGCCTGTGGAGGCCACATGAGGAGCAGTGAGACTCGAAGCCACTGGGAAATGTACAGGCAGGAGGGCAGAACCTCGGGAAGGCCAACCTCTAATTCCTAAAAGCTTCCGAAACAAAAGGACCAAAGCCCAGGAGCACTGTGTGTGACCCATAAATGACAGACAGTTGAAACCATGCCGAAGGCGGAGAGGGCAGGGAGAGCCCCACGCTCCTCGTCATCCTTGCTGGAGACTTGGCAGCTTCTGTTTTTATTTCGACTTTGAGGAACACATGCAAGCGTAAGGATCTTTCCTTCAGTTTAGCCTGAGTGGAATTAGAACAGGGACATCCATTGTCACACAGCCAGGAGAAAAGCGAAGGCAGCTCAGAAGCAGCTCAGGGGATCTGCCTCTGGAGTCCCGGGTCACACCCCCACTTCCCACCTTCCTGCCTGGGAGAGGCCCAGCCCCCCAAGGGACCCTGCAGAGCCCATGGCCAGGACCCCAGTCCCCACCTAGCATGCCCCAGGCCCAGCTGCCCCTTTCCAGGGTGATGGTGTCTGGGCTCCAGCAACCCCCAGCCCAGGCCGGGTCTGTGTCTGCGTGCAGCATGGATGTCCATCACCCTGGCCACGGGGCTGCCCCAGACCAGCTCCTGGAATCCAGCAGTGCAACCACCAAGGGCAGGCCCAACCGGGGCCGGTCCTTGGGTTCCAGAAGCCACCCTTGCCTCCTGCCCCTCCTCCTGGGGCCCTAGATGGCTGTGGCCTGGATCAGGGCTGGGCAGAGGGGAGGCAGGAGCCGCCCCACCTTCTGCTGGAGACACAGGCAAGTAGCTCTCGGGGCTGGAAAGTGTCCCCATGTCCAGTGGGTCAGGGCTGGCGGGAAGGAGGCTGGAAAGAGTCCCCATGTCCAGTGGGTCAGGGCTGGCAGGGGGGACAGGGGACCCCATCAGCTTTGGGGCCTCAGATTCTGTCTAAACCCCTTCCCCTGAGGATCTGGCTGCCAGCTGGAAACTCAGCTTGGCCCCGAGGTCAGAGCCCCCTTGAGCTGCCAGGGCCTCACCCCCTGGCCTTGACACCCCGTGATGGGCACCTGCCCTTGCCACAGCCTGACCGGTCACCTGCTGGCCTCACTCCCAGGACGCAGGATGATGGTCCCACCAGGCCCCTCCATGCAGACCCAGGCCTGTGGCCTCCAGGAGACTGGTTCCCAGCCACCCAGGGGCACAAGCCAACTGCTGGTGGACAGGGTGGGTCACCAACATGGGGAGCGGGGGGCTCGCCTCTCCCCAGGAGGGTGGGCGCAGCGGCAGGGAGCACTTAGCAGCACTCAGCCAAGAAACAGACAGCCCCTCATGGAGCCCCAGGTGGGTAGGCCTCTGCCTCAGAGCAAGGACCCCGGAACCTCCAGAGGAGATGGGCCCTGGGCTCTCCTGAACAGCGGGGTCCACAGTCAAGCAACCACCCCCACCCTGGGGTCCCAGGTTCACATCCCAGCTCCTCCACCTGCCTCCTAGGGGCCTTGGCACACAAACTCTACAGAATGGGAAGGCAGTTCCCTCCTCTCTCAGATGGATGCTGGGCACAAGAGCCCATGGGAGGGGCGGGGGGCTGCCCACATGGCGCCCACGGCTCCCATCACACACACAGGCACACTCGCAGGCTTGTGCATGCTCACATGCAGCAGAAGCACATTCGCCTGCACTTGTCCATGCCCATGCTGCACACACACACTGTGTGCAGACACCCCAGCCCAGCACACACACACCTGCACACTCCTCCTCACACACTGTGGGCAGACACCCCTGTCCAGCACACACACCTGCACGCTCCTCCTCACACACTGTGTGCAGACACCCCTGCCCAGCACACACACCTGCACGCTCCCCCTCACACACTGTGTGCA